CTGTAAATGCTTCATATGTTAAAATCTGAAGCTATTACAGTTTTTTGAGGATGATTGCTCCTTTTATGGTCTTTCTTTCTGCCAAAATTGTAAAATAACGTATCTTTGGTCTAAAAAGAAACTTTTATGGCTGATATTTCAGGCACTTGATGGTTTATATTTCCTATTTACTGCCTTCCAAGAGCTGGGAATGAGGAGGCCATGGTTGGGACTGTTCCAGAAGTTCTTGGACGTTGTCACCTACTGCCTGAAATCCTCCCAGCCTCAGCTTTAATGCACGATTTGGGAATCAGTGCAGACTGATTCAGTGGGGAGCAGATGGCAGTTTTTGTTGATTGCAAGAAAGTAACACTTGTCTGAGGTGGTACAAGGTTCAGCAGGAATTTGGAATTACCACCAGCTTGGACATCGCAGCCTTTTCCTCAGGATTTGCACTTTGGCTTGTGCTGTCTGGAGCCTCGAGCCCAGTGGCAAGCTGAGTCTGGTATTAGAAACAGTTACTGGCTGAGAAACGCTAAATAAGAAGGGAAGGGGGAAAGTCTTTAAATACGTGGCTCCAGATAGGAGGTGATGTGCTTTGCTTTACTACCTGCAAAAGGTACAGCTGGAAAACAGGAAGGACTGTGTTGTTGGTGAGGCTGAGCTACAGCAGTTCCCTTTCCACCAACATGAGCTGACCTGCCTGCTCCAAAAGGAGCTGTCTGGTGGGTATGGATCCAGCTGTTCCTAGTATGAGAGCCCCTCCTACCTAACCCCAGTTCTAAATGTGGATGAGCCTTCTGTAGGAAGAAGTGGGTCTCCTTGTCTCTGGGGAGTCATTGCTTCCCGTTGACATGTGCAGTCAAAAAGACTTCTTTCCAAGGAGAGCTTTGGTATGGTGTGGCTGGAAACAGACACTGCTGTCCTCACTGGGAGAGCCAAACCTATCCAAGAGAGATGGACAAAAGTCGAGGAGAGAACACAGCTGAGGTGCTACTGTCACAGCTTTGTACACAGGAGGCATTACCAGGCACTGTTCCTACTGAAGGAATGCTGATGCTGATTAATACCACAGAAAGACTAGGGAGAACTCTAGAAGACTTTCCGAAAGCATAACAGGAACACTTATTTAGCAGTTTACCTTTCTAATTTTTTAATGGATGCTCTTTTCTGTGCATCTTTAAAAGCTTTTAAAAGCTTTTTAGTAGTAATTCGATGCCATGGCAAAAAGCCTGCGAAGGTCTGTGAAGTTAAACCTCAAATCTCTTTAATGATTTCATACATTATTCTACAGAATCACGTTATGCTTTCTCAGGCCACTTATTTCATTAACTAATATAACAGAGGCACAGACACATGTTTTTGTTTTGCCTGTGTCCTAGCTCATTTGTGAGCCGCGCTGAGTGAAGATGTGGGAACCTCGCTTCCCTGTGCAGGGCAGGGCTGGAGCTGCTGTGCAGGATGCTCTTCTGCTCAGATTGGAGTATTCAGAGTTTGAGGAGATGGAAGACAGATGTGGATATATCCGCTGAAGAGAGAATTAGGGAAACTTTGCCCTTAGTTTGTAACTGTAAGTTAGGAACCATGATTTCCATAGCTTTCTTAGCTGCAGAATGCGATGTGAAGGGGAGACAAGTAGAATCAGAGTTTCAGGAAGAATTTTCTTAGTCATTTTTCTTATGTGCACACAAGAAGATACTCATTTTGAGGTGACTGCTGCTACTCTTTGCATTCTGACAGGAGCTTGAGTCATGCTTGAAATGTGTTTTGCTGTGGGTGTTCCTTTACCATTGTTTGTTCCCCTGTTTGCCTCGGCTGTAGGGCAGGCTATAGAACTTGGTCTCTTTGATTATTTGAAATGTTATATTCTTGCTCATACTTTGTCTCTAAAACTTTTTAACTCTGATTTTCATTCCTGATTGGCAAGTGCTTTCCATAACCTTATGACTCAGGCTTATCATAAGTGTTAGAAATGCTTTTTGCCAAAAATCTGTAATACTGGAAGTGATTTCACTCCTGTGCTGAATATTAAATGTTGTTGGACAAGGACTGATGAAACTCCTCCTACTTCACCTCTCTTTAGAAAGGCTCATTCCTCATTTATCTGAAAGCATGCCCTCCAATTGCTTTAATACTTTGTGGTCTGAAATGGCTTGAGAAAAATTCCGGACTAGATTCCAGTAGAATTATCTTAATAGAGCCAATTACTGAATAAAAGCAGTAACAAAGGAGAAATTATGTCAGAGATGTTAGGTCGATGTTCTGTTTACTGTCAGTTCTTTGAGAAATAAGAGCTTAATGCAAGATTGATTTCATTATGCCCACCGAGCTTTTTGGAAAAACACAAGTAGTTAAAAGCATTTGGGAAATAAAATTATACCGTATTTAAAAGTGCCAGTTATGTTCTCAAAGCCCCGTGTAAAAGATTGAATTTTCCAGTTTAAATAAGTCTGTCCAGTTTTTAGATTGGTGCCTGACCAATATTACAATTCTTCAATCTGAGAGTTAATAACCATTCATAATGCTTGGAGGAATTGGAAACAGAGACCAGTCCCTTTTAATTGTTTCCTTCCGTTGTATTTAATGCAGCTCCTCTGGATTCATTAAGATTCTTGGATGATGGATTTGTTTTCTGCTTGTTATCTTAATAATAATTGCTGGACCCTACAGGATGATGTAGGAAACCAGGGGATTCCAAGTTCTTGAATACCATCCAAATGTGTTGGTGAACTTTTTTAATGGCCTCATTTTTCCAATGTTTATATTCCAAATATAACGTTCCATAGATGTTATTAATATTTGAAGTGATATTTCAATTTTACACAGCTATCATCTCTGAGGAAATTTCTCCTCTTTTAGTTCCTTTTACCATTTTCAGCACAACTTGGTCCTGTTTTTCTTGCTGCCCTTTATGGGTGAGGGAGTAAACTTAATTTATTTATTTTTTCTTTTTATGGATGTGTTCTGGTTGGAGCTGAGCACACCTCCTTGCCTCCTTGTTGTTTTTAGAATTTTTTAAAATCATGTGCTCTGTCTTCAGCCCAGTTCTGTGGGTCTTCAGTGACATGCATCTTGGGTGATGCTGGTGTTCCAGCTCTAACATTTTCATTTAAACACTGCTGAGCCTGCTCTGAAATGAGTGGAGCAGCCTGGAAGCAGTTCTCCCTATAGCCAGGCACAAAGCTTCAGTTTCCTACAGAATCTTCATTGCAGTTCTTTCTGTACTGCATAAAGTACAGCATCAGTTGATGGGCTATGGCTAGTATTTATCAGTTGTTTAGCCCATCAGTCTTAAAAACCCACCAAAAATAATGAAAACAAAAGCACAAAAGTCACAACAACAGCAAAACAACAACAAAAAAGCACAAATTGTATGCAAGGTTTCGCAGGCTGTGGTTTATACCACATTTATGTGTTCTGTCATTATTAGCAGGTATTGTTGAAAGGATGTCCACCATTAAGCCAACTGATGTGTTGGAGGCTGTTAATCAGACTCAGCAGTGTTTCAGCATCCCTCCTTGCTGATATTTTCCCTTAGTCTCCTACTGCATCTTGCATTTATTTGCCTAATTCAAGTAACATCGAAAAAAGTTTTAAACACACATTAATTTAAATCCAATTTCCTGTCCCTCAAGGAGAAAGGAGGGAGAGCTATTTTCTTTCTTTTTTCTTTTTCTTTTTTATTTTTTCCCACCCTTGCGGCTCGAGGAAGCAGTGAGGACCACGTTCCCACAGCCTGGGGGTCTCCAACAATGACATTTCCTCTGTGGGCAGGCAGCCGGCCGGGCTCAGAGCGCTGCCCTGGCATTGTGAGTCCCAGCACGTACTCTTACATCACTGCAGCCCCAACCTGCATCGTGCAGACTTTGTGTAAGAAGAGTGAAAGTTGAGCGGGAAATGGAGATTTCCCTCGCGTTCTTCTAGAAATTGCTTTTAGTTTTGTTGAGGTTATTTTCCCTCTGTTGGAGATGGGGATTGCGGTCGTCTTCCATTTGTATCCAAATCATCATTTTGACAAGAAATTCAGCTGCCTCAGTTGTGAGTGTTCTGCAGCTTAACATTGGTTCCACATTCATTTTTCCACTAGATGAATGAAAAGTTTCAGTGCTTGTCAGAGATAAGTGATGTCTGTAACTTCTTGTCAGGTCAACGAGTGACTTGGTGTTTAAAGTTTAAACTGCTGCCCACTGAGCTGCTCTGCCACTGCTGGGCTGCCAGCAGTCAAGTAAGCAGTGACCTGAAGGGCCAGCAAGGCATCTTGCTCCTGATTCGTACGGACAGGGCTGAATTTTTTTACAGTAGTCTTGCATGTGTTCTTAGAAGTGGCGTTTAGCAGTGTCACTGAGTGTCACCAAAGAATCAGGAGTGCAAGGCTGCATTTTTCAATTTCAGTTTCAGTCACAAATATTTGATTCCTTGCCACGGTTCCTGTTAAATCTGTTGGAGCATCTTTATTTACAGTGACAATTTAATTTCTCTTTGTGTTGTTGTTCGTGTAGGTTTTCATGTAGAAATGTTTTATTTAGCAGATAAAACTTTGTTCCTTATCAATATTAACTAGAAATTTTGCTTCAGTGCTGAAGCATAGAAGTAAAGTCTTGTATTAACAGAGGTAAAACCACGTGGTCTACTTCAGGGATTTTAGAAAGAGCCCTGACATACGTCCCTAACTTGTTTGCTTTTATATTTTGCTCTGTACAGTTGTAAGAAATTTATACTCTTAATACCCTTTCTAGCCTATCGTTTTATGCTTTTTAACTGTATTTGCACTATAGGAAATTAAGTATTAGCCACTTTCTCTTTAACCCGTGTAAGGTTACCTGACATTCTTATCATGGCTTGTTTTTTGTTTTTTAATTTACCATAGAAGGTGTTTTGGTTCCTTACCACAGAACTCCAGTGTCGGGCTGTTCAAAGTTGTTTTTTTGTGTGTGTCCCTTTTTAAGGTGTTTGTTGAACTAATACTTGTTAAAATATGATTTTAATATTGTTTGCATTTTTTTTTTTTTTTTCCTTTTAAGAATATTGACATAACAAACTTCAGCAGCAGCTGGAATGATGGCTTGGCTTTCTGTGCAGTCCTCCATACTTACCTCCCAGCCCATATTCCTTATCAAGAGCTAAACAGCCAGGACAAGGTATGACGTTAGAATTCCCATTCTATTATATATGTTCATGTCCATATAGAATCTATATAGCTAATATGAGCTAAAAAAGAAGAATGAACTAATTAAAGTAATAGAAAAATGATCTTACTAGAAATCATAATTGAAACATTTCAGACTACATTATAGCTATTCTTTTTAAAACCTTAATGTTGTAAGATCTTTTGGGTGATATTAGGATATGTTCATTCCTGTTGCCCTTTTAAAATTAATATGGTCCAATTACAGACTCACTTTGAGGCAAAATTAGCAGTTTTACTGTAAACTTTTTTAATGCCATCTTATTATGAAGTAGTATTTACTTGGATTCTGATACGTTTTCATATCTCATGCAGAGGAGAAACTTCACTTTGGCTTTTCAGGCAGCTGAAAGCGTTGGCATCAAATCCACTCTGGTGAGTTTTAAACACATACTGAACAAATTACATCTCATTTTAAAAAATAAATTATTCCACTTTGTGCTTTTGAAAGATTTTGAAGCAAAAATAACAGCAGATGAGCTCAGCTAGAGCCTATAGTCTCAGTATCACACTTGACTGAAAAAAAATACATAAATGGTAAGCACATCCATCAGTGGTTTTGTTTAATCTCTGTCAGTCTAGCATAAATCCAATATTGTCAGCCACTTAAGCTAATACTGTTTTTTGCAGTAAAATAATGAGTGGGATAAAGACCTGTACTCAAGCTGCTGCAGCAAAGGCAACAGCAGAACAGCCTATGGCAGGTTGGGAATGGCCTGAAGCTGCATTGGGGGAAGATCAGGTTAGATAATAGGAAAAGATTCTTCTCCAAAGAATGATCATAGAATTATTAAGGTTGGAAAAGAGTAATATCGTCTAGTCCATCTGTCAGCCTATCACTGCTGTTCCCACTAAACCATATCCATAAGTGCCACATCTATGTGTTTCGTGAGCACTTTCATGGATGGTGACTTCAGCACTTCCCTGGGCAGCCTGTTCCAATACTTTGCCACTCTGTCAGGGAATAAATTCTTCCTAATATCCAATCCGAACCTCCACTTGTGCAACTTTAGGTCATTACCTCTGGTCATATCACTGTTACATGGGAGAACAGACCGACCCTTTCCTTGCTACAACCTCCTTTCAGATAGTTAAGAGCAATAAGGTCTTCCCTAAGCCTCCTCTTCTCCAGATGGAACATCCAAGTTCCCTCAGCTCCTCGCCATAAGACTTGTTCTGCAGAACCTTTACGGCTTTGTTGCCCTTCTCTGGACATGCTCTATCACCTCAGTGTCTTTCCTGTAGTGAGGAGCCCAAAACTGAGCACAGTGCTTGAGGTGCCAAGTGCAGGGGTTCCAAGCCTGATGACAGAGTTCAAGAAGGGTTCATTTGGGTAATGTTCTTAGACATGGGCTTTAATTTATAGGCACTCCTGTGCAGAGCCAGTAATCTTTGTGGGTCCCTTCCATCTTGGGATACTCAATGGTTTTATGAGATAAACTCCTAAAAGGAAGATTCACCAAAACTCATTTTTCAGTATTTTAAGAAATAATAAAGTTGGTGTTGGTTTTGTTTTTGTTTTGTTTTTTTTTTTTTGAGAATAATTCGAGAAATAGTTGTGATACTATCTTCAAGGATCCATTAACTCTCTTCTGTCTCTGTTCTACTTTCTAATGATTTGGTTTTGTTGGAATTTCAGGAATACACATCAAGCTATGTAAGTTTTCTTTTGCTCACTGAAATGTAAAAGTTAAGACTTTAATGTTTAGATTTAATTTGTCAGCATTATAAATGATTGAATGTGGGCTTTTTTTTTTTGTTCCCAATTACTGGTTATTGTGTGTCTTATAAAAATTTTGCCTTAAAGGAATTAACTTTCAACATGATAGGATTTACAGTGAAAGTAAGACTCCTGAAGGTAGGGAATTGAGAGTATCCCAGGCCTTTGTGATTAATTGCAGAAATTCAACTGAAGTTGCCAGTATCAGAAACGATATTCAAGTGATGCTTGAGCAATCTAAATTCTAACAAAGCTGCCATAGTTAGCAACTAATAACACAGCGAAGTCAGGTGTTTTAAAAATAACACTTTCCTTGATCCCTATCAGAGCCTTTACACCAGCATTGTGTTTGCTCACAATGGCAGTGCAACTCCTGGACATTAAGCTTTGTCAGGGATTTGAAACCTGGAAGTTTCTTCCCAAGTGCTGATATAAGAACTACAGTGTGGGAAAATAGCTGCAGGAATTCTGTCCTGCTTTAGCTTTAGTCTCAGTGATTGCTGTTTGTCCTTTGATTTTTGCCATGTACTTAATTACAGACTTCCTGAAAAGACAAATTGAAAGGAATTAAATATTCAGTGTGCAAATTGTATCCATCTTAAGGGTTTAGTATCTTTTTACATACCAACAGTACACAGTGTGTAGTGTTTCTTTTTTTTTCCTCTTCATGGGTGAAGAGTGAGCAAGGATGTGAAAACCACTGTAACTAAATAGCAGTGGTGATGTAAGGAGAGGTTTATAAGGGTGACTTCTTTGTTCCCAGAAGAAGAAAGTGTTCAGCTGCTTTCATACAGAGAATCAAAACCAACCAACCAAAGTAAATAAAGCAACAACAAAACAGAAACAACTTCCTCTTTTTGAGTTTGGAGATCCTAGTACTCAAAGATTATAAAACAGATCCATATACTAGGCAGAAATGTCTAGGAACTGTCTCACTGTGTTCTTGTGTACATATGCTGAAAAGGGCAGATCAGGCTGTGTTTGCTCAGCTTATCCATAGACAATCTGGCACACTTGTTAAGAAATGAGTGAACTGACCTACCAGTTAGGCACACACTGATGCTTTGTCTCCTGCATATAGCCAAGCTGATGGCAAAGCAAACTTCCCTCTTTCTTGCCTCTTCACTCAAAAATACATATTGAAGTAATCCCAAGTTCACTACTCTACTGTGAAATGGGATTGTCATTTATTGACTCCTATCGTGATGAGAATTTTGAACTTCAGGTTCAGTCAGTATCTTGATCTTGATTCTGACTCTTTGTCTTAGCTCCTGGGCAGATTGCATTGACTTGTGAGACTGGTGTAAGGGGCTGGGGAACAGTAACATCTTCAGTACTAATTGTTCTGAAAGGGGGACAACTTAGGTATGCACTATTTCAATCTTAAATCAGCAAAACAGCATTCTCCATATATCCTATTTATAGCTGTTTACATTTACTATTTATAGCTGTTTACAGCTGTTTATTTCCAAGTAATATCGAGTTGCATGGAGGAGAACAAAGCTTTCTTCATCAATGCTTTAAATTATGGAAACTTTACAGGCTTACCATCACCATGACTTGGTAAAAATACTGCCACGTCCCTCACAGGGTTATGGTTCTTCTTTTTGACCAATCTGTTTTCTGTGACAGGACATCAATGAAATGGTGCGAACTGAACGTCCGGACTGGCAGAATGTCATGCTGTATGTTACAGCAATTTACAAATACTTTGAAACCTGAAACCCTAATAATTCAACAGATTCATGAAGTAGAACCGACATTAGCTACCAGATGGAAATCTTGCTGAAATGCTAATCCCCATTTCACTAAAAACTGGCATCAGTTGAGTCCCTTCAAACTTCGGTGACGCTATCCTGGATTGCTTCAGACTGCTTCAGCTACTAAGCCTGGAAACAACTTTTAAAAAGCAAAAACTTGTTGCTGCTGCTTGGAATAACCCAAGTAATTAAGCTATTCAGATTAATTATGTAGCCTAAAGAGCCTGGACTGCTTATCTACCGCCTTGCCAGCCAGACTTCCTGAAGCTTTCTTACCTAAGAGAGTGAGATGAATGGATCCTCTAGCATATGGGAGACTGAGTGTACAGCTAATGCTTTGAGAAGGAAAGGATAACATGGCATCATATTACTGAACTTTCTGTAGTGTCCTGATACCACAGTCTAAATATTCCACCTACAGCCTATGGCACCCCGATACAGTAGAGTTCCTGATGGTAATTTAGTTACTGCCTTTATAGCTATTTTCACTCCTTTAAAATGTGCACAATATTCTAGGAAAACAAGCTTTTATTTCATCACAACAGCTTGAGTGGAAAAGTGGTCTTGATACCTCGGAAAATTTGGCACAGAAGAACTCTTTCTTCTAAAGTTTCGTTATAAGCCTACCTCTGTCACAGTGTTGTGGCTTCCAACTTTATCTTATGGATTCTAAAGACTACCATATACAGCTCCTGGTTTTCAGGTTATGCTGTATTGAAAGGAATCTGTCAGTAGCTCTCTGTGCTTCCATTATAGCAAAAATGAATCAATAATCAACCCTTGTATGGCTTGTTCTTTCCCCTTTTCTTCTTATGCCTGTATAGCATGCACAGCTACCCCAGGCTTTACTTCACAGCAATACGAGGAAACGTCGTGGATGTCTGTGGTAGCATTTTGGAACTGGGACAGCATTTCCTCTGCAGAGAAGATACTTTCAGTAAGATGTAATAATGAAGATATTTGTCTAAAAATCTACCTTTGCAATTTCCTGTGTGTCTTTCATTGATGTTGCACATCCTCATCTGAGTGATAGAAGGTGAGATGTTCTCTGACAAGAGTGGAGGAACTAATGTAATGTGTGTATACCCAGCAGTCTCAAATATTGCATGGAAAAGACTTGCTCTCACAAGGAATTAACCGAGAAACTTTGGTTTGCTCAGCTTTTGTTTTCCTAAAATGCACCTGAATTCATGTAACAGCTCTTGGGCAAAAGAGTTCAAGTAAGTGCCTTAGCTATCATTGATTGATACATCCTGGCACTTCAGGGCTTTGTGCAGAATGTTAATGGCTCAGAATGATTTAATCCATCCGTTTGTTATAAGCTGTTAAAATGTTTGTTGTAATCTGGTTCGTCAAATCAAGGGAATGCTTCACTCTGCCATTGCTTCTGCCTCTTATTTTCCGGAATATTTTCCAGCAGTTAAGCCACAGTTGAACATCTCTCATTAATATTAAGCAGAAGCCTACTTTAGAAGCGAGTTCTGTAACAACTGCTATTTATAAGCACATGCTCTTTCAACACAGTAACCCTGTTATAAAGAATCTTCTATTCCTATGGTGCTCTTACGACTGTTAAGGACTGTTTGAATGTCATTGATGTTAACTCAGTGAATGCAGCTCCACTTGGCATCTGTGAAACTTCATCATGGTACAGAAGCACAGATTTAACTCAGACTTATTGCCAAACCTAAAAAGCTCTCATCTGAAGAACATAGCCCATGTGAAGAGTAATAATTCAGTATGTCTCCAGCAGCTAGCATTATAGAAAATTACTTCTTAAAATGCTTACACTGACACGTCTGTAATAGAATACATTATAAATGTGCCTGTAAGAATATATGAAATGTTGCAAAACAACTTCTTAGAGGGGCTCTGGAGAAGTTTTCAGAGCAACAGTGTCTCATGCATCCTTATAATTCTTTAGCCTGCATATCCCTAAAAGTAGCTGGATACCCTCAGTTTATCAGTTGGTGCATTTGAAAAGCCAGCATACTCTAAAGGCAGTTGTTGCAAGAGAGGCTTCAAATGGGAAAAAAAAAAAAAATCATTAACAGATTTTAATAAAATTCTGAAATATAGTTTCCTTTCCTGTATATTCCTTCCAGTATTTTTATTTACTTTGCTTCTTCAAATAAGTCTCAACAGGAGCAGTCCTATTGGAAATACGTGCTACTGCTGGCTTATGTTCCATCTCTTACTAGATTCCAACTTATGCACGTTTGTGCTTATAAATCTGTATTCTTCCTTTGAATAGACATCCTTATCTGCGATTGTCTTATTTGTTGCTTTGTATATAAAGAAAGTATTTTTCCAATGACAAGGACAGCGTTTCTTGGTCTAAATTCACTCATGAGCTGTTGTGTTTTTTACATTGATTTGTTCTGTGTGATGGCCCACCTCCTTTACCAGGAACACTGTGCCAGCCCTTAACTAAATAACGCATGGTAGTAAGAGGAGGAAACCACATTTTTCTCATACCTTCTTTTGAAAAGTTGTGCTGCTGGTCTTCAGAGAGAGAAGTTATGAGCCACTACAGAAAGGACCTTATTTTGAACTTCAGTGCTCTGTAAGCTTCATGGTGTGGTCTGGCTGATAAAAGCCTATCTAGAAAGGAATATTGGGCTCCATAAAGAGATTTTTTTATAATCGTACATCTGAGCCTTTACAAATAAGATGCCGTACAGCTGTCCAAGTGAAAGCAATGAAGGAAAGCAATGAAGCAATGACAGATAAAAAACAAACATAATGCCCTGCTGCACTCTGCCACATGTTTTCTGCAAAGGTTCAAACAGCATTTAATTTTTCAAGTGAAAGAATAGCTGTAGCCCTTCTGGACGCGGATGATACTGTCCTACTTGGTTCCTGCTCGCACTTAATCCTGAAACTGCCTGTTATTTCTTACATATGAAGCGAGGTTTCTGCTGATTTAATTTCCTCTTTTTTTAACCAGCCCGGAAAATATTATTGAATGTGTTTAAAAAAGAAAAAAAGAGACAAATATTTTATCCGTTTATATTACTACAATTTAATATGTGCCTTGCAAATGCCTGTGCTGTAGTATATCAGGGCTAGTTATTGCCAGCTGTGGGCAGAAGGGATCTGTCAAAAATACTGATGCAGATATGGCTATATGACCTAATGGATCCTGTTTCCTGAAATGCTTCCATAGACCACAGAGATGTCAGTTTAGAGTCAGATGTGTCTTAGGGTTGCCTGGTTGTCATCATGATAATCGTAAGCTTTGAACTGTGGCATTTTCTTTACCAAAAAGAAAGGATGAGAAGATAAATTTTGGTCATTAAGGAGAATTCTGTCAGTTTTGACCCAGTATCTGACAGTAACAGAATTAAGGTGACTTCAGAATGAATTACACTTGTCTTGATTTTCAGTTGGTTTGGTTTGATTCATTTTGCTGTCTTGTATACTTTATGTGGAAACACCAATTCTGTAGCCCTGGTGTTGTGAATGGATCTCTGTGACCCTCAGAGAGATCTCTCGTCCTCATGCTTCTGAAAAGTTGTGCACAAAAGGCTCCCTTTTAAAATTGTGTTGGTGGATAGGCTATCTACAAGGTAGCATTTATTTATAGTGTATCAAGATTTAAAAATAATTATTTTTCTCTTGCATAAAATGTGTTCCTCAAGTTTCTCATAATTTGGCTAATTTTGTAAAGTATTTCCACTGTTCTTGTGTTTTGGGGAAGTCCATTCTCGTGCTTTTTGTTTGCAAGGGCAAAGTGAACTCAGCTTTGATGTATGGATGTAATCTGCTATAAATGCTGCTGGCTGCATTCAGCCTCTGGTTTTACCTGCATAAGTAGAAATGCATTTGCTCTGATGATGCGCACAACACAGTGGTTTAAACTGCTGATAATCTGCCTTAAATTTGTAGCTGTGACAAAAAATTCTCCTTGGTGTCTCCCCTCTGTTAATGATCTCAGTGTTAAATTCTCTGGTTTTTTTCATTTCCCTCATTCAGCGCTTCAGAAAGTTGAAAACTGACCATTTGGGCTCTGTTGCATCTTTTCCATGACCAACAAAATGACTTTTACTCAATTCTAGCAGTTTGTGTACAGTTTCGACCTGGATACAGATTTTCTTATAGCCTAGATTCAAACAAGCTTAATTGGGAAGTATGAGATATGGAGAACTTCTTACTTTGTTCTGCTTGTGACCAGCTTGGGAATGCTGATATGTGGCAGTCTCTTCAAAAGCTGCCTTTCCTGGATGGCTGGCAAGAAGTTATGCACAGGCTGAAGTTGACCCTTTAAAATTGTGTTTATATGACTCGTGTGGTGACTTTACCTCTTATTTGCCTATTACAACCACCGCAGGAATAGCTGAGCTGCAGGCTGCCTTGAGCAGGAGCGATTAGAGGGCAGAATCCTTTTGGGAAGGAAGCCAGTTGTACACCTTGACACCATTTTTTGCCTATTGTAAGAAATACTCCTGCTGAAGTGGCCAACTGAATAGGATTTTGAAATAATAGCATTAGTGTACAGGCTGATTTAACTGTGTAGTTTATTCGTGGTCCTTCCCTTGACTCGGTGAATATTTTTCTCTGTTATTCTTATGTTCTGCCAAGCGCTGCCTCTGCAGTTCCTTTCTGAAGTTAGCATTAGTGCATGAATAGTCAGTGATATTAGCCCATCCAATAAGCAATTTGGTGGGACATGCTCTTAAAACAAGGTAGTCATTCACAAGTTCTGGACATGCCATTGTGCTTTCCCAGGTTAGTGTGTGTTAAATGGAAAAATGCCTTAGAACTGCTTAACTCTTCCTTGACTTCCTTTTCAACCATATCATCTCCATCACCCTACAGTGCCCATCAGGTCATAGAGATCTTTTAATGCATTTAACTGTCTCTATTTAGAAAGGTATCTCTAGGAGCGTTTCTGCCCTCGAAGAAGTGTGACTGGATGGGCTTTGAGTGACTCACTGGCTTGCTGAGCCTTTATTTGTGCAAGGTTTTCCTGTGTAATCAGCATAATTTTGCTTGGTAATTGTCAAAGCCATTATGTTAAGTATCTGGGATATATTGCAAGTATGCTTTTGATAATTAATACTAAATAACTCTTAAGATGGAGTTCTGGAGTTCTGATTTTTGTCAGCATTGCTAAGAATTTCTGTTTTTCCTTATGTATCTGTGCTTGTCAGTTTTTGGTCTACCATTCACTTGAATTCAGTTTGGCAAGTCTATGGCCTCTATCCATGAGTTCATTCTGTGATAGCAGGTTTGCTTCCTCACACTGAGACTTCAGTAGTAGCTATGAATATGAGATGATTTCATTCCCATTGGCATTTGTCTTTTTCTTGGAATATTCCTTACCCTTTGGCCACTGTCTACCGGAGTTACAGACAGTACTTACCACTTCCAATAGGAACTGTGGATGTAGAATGGGAGGGGGAACTTCTTGCAGAATTATGGCAGTCTGATGTGATTAAGCTTGTTTCATTTTAATTCCCTATTTTCAGGGAGTTTCAGTTCAGCCAAAATCACTTACTCAAAGCTGAAAGGTGGCACGTTCATTCTCCACTGAGAAGTATGCTTCTGTTTCATAATATTTTTATGAGATTGTATTTATGTAAACTAAAGGAAAAATGTCGTGAAGTTAGTTTTGTTGCACTTTTCTAAGGCTTTTGTATTTTGCATAGAGTTCTAGAATACAAACAAGTTGTTTGGGGAACTTTAGGTTTAAAACTTACTCTGCCCCAGCATAGCAGTGTATTACGAGCATTTTCATTCTAGTAAGTATCTGTATTATTTTAGCATGTGAGCAGTGTATTTATATGGTAGTTAAAAAGCCCAGTGGACATTTCCTGCTGCAGAGGAGCCATTGGCAGTCCTGGTTCCACAGTTCATGAACTGACCTGTTTTGACAGTAGACTGCATTTGCAATAATTGAATAGTTGATTTTTATTTTTCTGAACTTTTTCAGTTCATGGAGAGAAAGAAGCTCTTCTGTTGTGTTCCATTGTTGAAGTTTCTCTGGAGGCTTTTACTGGTTTCCAATTATTGCATATGTGCAGCTGGATTGATTACTTGGGAATCTGCTCAGTAGGAAGAGCACAAGTACACATAACATACTCAAGTAATTAATCCTTGTAACTTACATTTCAGTTAGAAACTTTAGTTTTTACATGTATAGTAGGGTCAATTTTACTATTTTTCAGTAGCACTTTTATACTTATCTGAAGGGTTTTTTTTAACAGAAGTGTCTTTTCTGTATGTTATCTAATGGAAAGAAAGTATAACACTATGAAACGTAACACAGAATAGTTAGCTTCCAGGCTGTCCGTTCACTTTAGGTCAGTGATGATCAAGAGTTGTTCAATGTCTATGAATTAAAGTAGTTTTCCCATTGAATGTTGGACAGCTCTCCAGGTCAAAGTCAGAAGGGCATTAATTGGTACCCTTTAGTGTTGGATGTGGGGGTACTTTGAGTTCAGGTGAGGCAGAATTGACAGAACAGAGTGGTGAATTTTGGACTTGGTGAAAGAACAGAATGTTGTTGATGTCTCAGTCTAACTTCTCAGCACTACATCAGATAAGGACTAACCTTGTTTGAAATGACACTGCAGCCAGTACTTACATCTCATGAATAACTGATTTAAAGCTCTTTTTCCATGGCCTTTAAAGATGATGTAAAACACAATGATTCTTACAAGCTCTTCTCTTCTTCCATCCACGCTTTTCTGATTTGTATTGGTTTTATCCTCATTTGAAACGCAAATATTAGACTGACCAAACATGTACATGGGTTCAATAATCCTCCTTTTAGACAAGAAGCACTTTCTTCTTTTTCAGAACCCTGTCAAATAGGTTCTGTACACATTCACATGCATAGACATTTTAGATATGTGTAGAGGTTTTGCATAAATGTATGTATGTACACATATATACACTTGTGCAAATACATTTGTGTATATGTGTGTACCTATGCACCTTCTTAATAAAACTGAACATCTTTTAAGAAGTGCTTGAGTCTTGAATACTTATGACGGTATAACAGCTTATACATTTAAAAGGTAAGGAAGAAAAAGCTATTTTGTTTGTTTCTGATTAGATCTTAGAAATACGGTTCTGAGGAAAATTGAAGTGTGTTCAAATTGTATTTCACCCTGTTTCTGGTTTAAAAGGCACAAGCTGTTATTGGAACTTAAAAGGTCAGCAAGAGTATTTTAAGCTAAACCTTTTGGAGGACCAATATGCTTTTAGTTTGCAAGGACCACTAAAGATCTGGGCATTTAGTTTCTTCATAATGTATTCTGTATGAATATTTAGTATGTATGCCTTCAATTTGCCAATGTTGCCATGTTTTCTTCTTAATTATTCATGAAATAAAGATTGCAAATAGCAAAACGTGTGTCTGTTTTTTTGACTGAGGCTGCTTCAAAAGGGGATGTTTTAACACCATTTCTGATACCATGATTTTTCAGGAGTAAATGTTACAGGAAGCATTTGTGGAGGTTTATGTGCCATGGATGAGAAGTACAGGCCAATGGTTTGCATGCCCATAACCTCACTGTTGTCAGGAAGTCACCTCTATTTTGATATACCAGCATTATTTGATATCTACCTCCAAAGGATTTTAAATGATAACGTATGGAATGTTCTAAAGATGAGGTATGTATTTAAGGCATCTCCTTAGACTGGATTGTCTTGGTCTTGAATATGAGTAACAGGGAAGGGAATTCTAGCTAATACTTTCAATTAAGGCAACTTCGGTCACACAGAATACATAATACAAAATTAGAATTATTGCAATATTACTTATCCCAACTAAGGAAGTCAGTGTACTCTCCATCTCATGAGGAATTGGGGCTGGAGAAAGGTTGGGGGCTTCATCTGTAGCAGTTTGGTGTACTTAAAACAGATGCCTAGAAGTAAAACTTCCAGGTGAAAATAAAAACTAGAAAAATAAAATAAAGAAAAAAAAATAGAAAATAAAGACTAAGCACCTTAAATTTGGTATGTTGTCATTCGTCCTGGAGGATAACTGATTTCAAATGCAGTTTTCTCTGAAATGGTGTGGAAATCGTTAGCGTAAGTCCCAAGTGCTCTATTGGATTCAGAGGTTTGAGTCAGGTTCCCTTTTATTTCACAGCTGGTTCTTAGATGTTACTGTAGGTGTTTTAATTCCGCTCATTTCTTGCAGGTTTTTGAGATTTGGTGTTCTCTGTTCAGAAATGCCTTTGACTCAGTAGTGTTATTCTGCAAGAAAGTGTGTGACCTCTTTTTTGGGGATGGAATATTCTCAGTGAATTTGAATGAGTTAAGAAAATTCTTAGTTCTCAAATGTTATCAATATCCAGTTTTTAAGCACAGATCTTCAGTATCCATACTTTTAAGAATAAATATTTTAAAGTGTGCAGTAAAGCCTCGTGTCAGAAAGTGGATGTTTTCCTTCTCTGTAGAATGTGCATGACCGTATCATAGAAGCAACTTGTACATCTGCACTTGGCAGCATGAAGGTCAGGACAGAAACAGCAAGAAGGACGCAGGTCAGGTATGTTAAAACAATCTTGTCTGCACGATCTGAGTTGCAACTGCAGTCACTGAAATAGAATTCCCTAACTGAAGTTTATTCACAGAACATCTCACAAGCTATCAGTAGACAAGCGCACAGTGCTAGTTTCATGTTTTTAATAAAATTAAATTGAACGTAATAACATCAATTAAACAATTTGGAAGGTTATACTGTAATGAACTGCAGCACTCTGGAGCAGTACAATAAAAAGCTGGGAAGGAATATCATTATAATATTTATTGTATTAAATTGGAACAGCTTAGATTGGAGGCATGGTTGTTCTGCAATTAATTTCTGTGTAGAAAAAAGTTAATATTGCAGAACTTGCCACTCAAATTCTTATCAAAACCGTGTTTCACAGTGGCTTTGATCAGGGGAAGAGACGTGGGTTATATCACGTGTTCTGCATAGAACTTCTTTGGACTCAGCCCTATCCTGTAGGTGGTTCCACAGAGCACATAGACAAGAGGGGTCATGAAGATAGAAGTTCTTCCCCCATGCAGTTCTTTTTGAAACCACAAAAAGAAACACAAAAAGACAAAAACAAAAAAAAACCTTCCCTCTACAAATGGGAAATTACTAACAGCCAGCAGCTACTGCTTAGACTACAAACAACAGCAAAAAACCTGCCTTCTCTGCACTTTGTGGTGCCTTCTCCACTGCTCACCCTGTCCTAGCCCCCCTCACTTAGTATTCTGCCTATTTTTTTTAATGTTTTTATCACCATCATTTGTGTTTGGCATATTAAACTGGTATATTTTCTTTTTCATTCTCAGCTCTAATGGTTGAGTGAGGTACAGAATTCCTAGAAATTGCTCAGAAGGTAATAATTGTGTGGTGCAAAGCCCCAGTACCTTCCATATGAATTAGTGCTTGATGCTGCAACCCAACACGTGAACAGAGAGGTTAGCTAATTAGCCTCCCTACTCCTGGCAGCTCAGGGCTAGAAGAGAATTTATGTCTAATTAGATCATTTTTATTAGCCTCATTTTTCTTAGAAATGTTGTTTTGAAGTTTCTTCTGTGGAAGTCCTTGTTTAGGAAAAAATATCATCTATGATTTAAAAAAAAAAACACAAAGTATATAAGCAACACACCATCAATCCTAGTCCAAGTGAAGGTTTTTGCTAGTCTTACCTGCTATTGCCCTTTCTACCACCATGGTTTAATTGAACTGTGATTATGGAACTGAGTTTTTGTGTACAAAACGCCCTGTTTGAAAAACAAAAGGTCAACTTCTCATATGTTCTTTGCTCTTTGGTATATTAAATTCTTTGGAGAGCCCTCATTATGAAAATGCGGTTGAACATAGAAGAGTATTTTTACAGCTAGACTTTTGCATTGACTATATAGAGTGAGGAGATGTTTGTGCCTCTTTCCAGAGCAGTGTGTAGCTTGATTCCCTTGTTTATGCTTCCTTTCCTTAAACCATTTTAGGCTCCTCACGCCAGAGGCCTCAAAGTTAAGCTCTTAAAAATGAAAGAAACTTGAGAAGGAGACATAACAGTCTGGAGACAAATTCACTGAGCTGTTGACAATATCATATTTTTCGAAAAATAAATAACCCACGGAACACTGTGTGTTAACACTGTGTGTCTCTGGGAGAGCAAATTCAGATTCCAGTGACTGCAATGGAGTAAGCATGAGGTAAATCCCACAGTGCACGTAACCAGTTCTGTCTTTTTAAAAACATCACAACATGGGAGGGTTTGAGCATGCGGGGTGCTGAGCGTCTGCAGTTTTGCAGTTCAGGAGCTGTTGTGTCTTCAGTCCTTCTGACAAATCTTTTCTGAAGATGATGGTTCAACAGTGATAGAGGTGGGCTCTTGTTCCAGCAGAGAAGTAACGTAAAGGGAGGACATGCTGCGATTTTACTCCTGGCCAGAGGAGCATTGTATAAGCACTGAAAGGAGAGCTAAAACACTCATTTAGTGTTATAAACCTACAAAGTTCTCTCCACGCCTCTAGCAGGTCACTGTTGCTCTAAGCAGGGAGTGGTATGGAGCAGGGTCAGCAGTTAGATTTTGTAACAGAAGCTTGGATACACACAATGTGTATTTTGTCAAGTTAAATAAGGGTTGCTCTTTCATTGCTCCTTAGCATAAAATGAAAATAGTGTCAGTGAAGAGGAATCATTTGACTTCTTCCCGCTGAGCCTTGCAAACCCAACAGTTTCTTTATTGTATAAGGGTATCTTCTATATGTTATTATAATAGAGAATAAATAGCTGTCGCTCTGCAGCTCCCACGTGATGATTCATGCTACCAGTTTTTCCTCTATTAATAGTCTACAGAGAATGCTTAAATTTAGATTGAACTCCCATCTTGTCTTCTGTCACGCTGAATAGCATCTGAAGAAATGAAGCCAGTCTGTCTGGGAAGGCTCGTCCAATTCCTGACATGAAACCACTTAAAAGCACTCACTGGTTCTTGATGTAAGTGCAAATGACAGAATTTAAGCAGGGTTGTGCTTATTCCTTGTGATTACAGGACTTACCTTCACTGTGGCTTGTTTTCCTCAAGCTCTGTGTAAAAGCTGAACGCTTTCTCTGCTGGAATTAGACCATTTGTGAGAGGGCTTTGACACAGAGAAGAATTCCACAGTTACAGCACATGGAACTTTGTTATAGAACTCCTTCCTCACAGAATTATTTTTTTCATGATTATTTTTAAATTGCTAATAAATATTTCGTACGGGACAAGAAAAACAATTGCATATACATAAATACATATATAAATATGTATGTAACTTGAATGTTTAGGCATTTGCTAGTTCCTCCAAAGGACCTCAAATAACCCTGTCTCCCCAGTCCCTTAGACTAACACAAGGGCTTTCCACTGTCCTTGAGGAGATGTGGGCAGCAATTGCGGGTATGGAATTATGTGCAAGTCAGAACACATGATTTTTAATGTCTCCTATACCAATATTGCATATGTTTACTATTGCACTACTCAGCTTGAAGCATCTTTGCAAAATATGCCTCTCTTAAATGCAGTATGGCCTGAATCATTTTGTCTGATGAGAAGGTTCACAACGAAGTACAGCTCCAAAACTGGTTAAGAGTAATCTCAGTGTGAATATGAAAGAGTGGAAATAAGTTTTTGTTTCTGATTAGTGGACACAACCCACAGCTTTGATGAAGTAAAGGATCGGGTATCAGCTTTTTAGCTCCAGCACAGCCCTGATACACGACTTTGCTGTTGTCACTTATGCATTAACCATGGTCTGATCAGTGCTTCACGCTGGTCTGCAATGATTCAGGTACCGAGACCATTAGAAATTGTACTCTGTATAGCAAAAGCAAATATCTAACTCACAGCCTGTGATTCAATGAATAGAACTTGTAGTTTGGGACAGTCTAGTAACTGAAAAATATGTGATGCAGAAAGTGCATCCTCAAATAAAAAGAAAAAAAGGTATTCATTAGGCATAAGCACATTTTCTACTTAAATAAAATACACACATTTGTTCTTCCGGACTCTGCCCAAGACAAACTGATGCTTGAAACTGCAAGACAGTTTCCCGTACGTAATCGCAGTACGCGGGTATGATTTCTGCACAAGGTTGATGAGCTGGTTTTGGCCCTAGTCATTATATTGATCTGTTTTGTGTTTGCAGTGGCCTCACTGATGTGCCCAAGCAGACTGTCGCTAGAGCGGGATCAGCAGAAGGCATGGTGAGCATCACAATAGGTCTTTTAAGTGTTAAGTTCTTGTTTACTTTACTTTCATCTTCTTGAGGGGAGCTTTTCAGGGTTTATTTACACTGTCTTCCTAGGATTTACTGCTTTACCCAAGTCTAAGGAGTGCAAATATCACTGCTTTTGAACTGCCCAAAATTCAGGACTTTTGCTTGCTCTCTTAGGAGACATTGTCCTGTGTGCTTCTGCAGCTCTGCTTGTCAGGACAGCCTTTTTGGCTGTAATCAGGAGAATTGGAAAGTCTCCTTTCTTTCCTTGCAGTCCTGGACTACTTTCAGCTCCCAGCACAAGCCCACGTCCTGCTCTCCAGACAAGTGGCAGCACCTTCACCACAGCTGCTGGAAACTCTTTCATTTCCAAGTAGTTTCAGCCTTCATCTTCAAGCAGCCCCTCCTAAAACTGTCCAGCCATAGCAGTCATAGCAATCCTGGATTTCTCAACAACCACAAAGAATGGAAAGATAATTAAGGCTCCATTGTACTGCCCCCTACTCATTGGTTATTAATGTGAACTATAGTATTTTCTAATTACTATAAAAGATGATTGAGTGTATTCCTTAAACCTCAGTTTACAGTCCTTGCTGACCACTGGTAAGGGAATACATAAGTAGGAAATGTATAGATAAGAATAATACACGCTGACATACAAAAGGAAAAATAGGATCTGAAGAATGGTGCAGTTTTGCAACTTGACAAGTGATAGCAAAGATAGAACTCAAAAAGAAGGCAGCAGCTATTCAAATCTCACTGCAGTAATGGAAGACATCCTATCCAACTGCTTAATAGGTTGTAAAACAGCAGCTGCTGGTTGTGAACTTTTCTATGTGCAGAAGAAAAGAGCACCTGAAAGTAAGAGAACCAGTGGCACAGATGTAGGAAGCGTTACCCTGGAAGGAGCTGAGACCCAGCACAGATTGTAGAGCATCAGCTGGGAGCAGGAAAACACAGCCTCTTGTACAGAGCAGGAGCGAGGCTGTTATGGGAGCAGTTCCCAACCTCGGAGACAGGGCTCAGAGCAGCTGGTGGAGCTGTAGGTGGCCCCTGTTCATTGCGGGGAAGCTGTACAAGATGCCTTCAAAGGTCCCTTCCGACTCAAACGATTCTGTGGCACTTCTGGTAGACGTAGCTGGGCTGGGTATTTTTGAGCTCTTCCACAGTGTTCACGGACGGGGTTTCCTTTTCGCGCTGCCGGTGGCAGTGACAGCGGAGCAGAGGAGAGAAGGAGCTGTTGGTTTCTCTGCTTGTGTAATCTTTTCGGAGCTTAGTGCTGTGCCACTCGGCACGGCTGTGGGCTGCAGCTCGGTGGGTGGCATTGGCAGCCTGGAAAGACAGAGAAGCTTCCAACAGCGCGTGGGAAAAGCCCTCCTTTCCGTGCGCCCTGTCTAAGACACACTAAAAGCCCATTTCCGTCCCTCGCAGGTCCCTCACGCCGGCAGCTGGACTTCCTGCAGGGATCGCCGATGCCGCCCCGCCCGCCCCCTGTGCCGCGGATCCCCCGCTTCCCTCCCGCGGCGCCTCGGCCGCCAGGTAAACCGGGGCGGCTCCGCTCTCCGGGGGGTTCCGCGCCGCCCCTCCGCCGCCGCCCCGCGCCGCCCGCGCCGCCCTGCAGGGGGAGCCGCCGACCCCGGGCCGCCCGCGTCCTGCGGCGGGAGCGGGGCAGCGCCCGGCAGCGGCGCACGGCTCCGGGCGCGGCCCGAGCTGCGCGGTACGGCGCCCCGGGGCAGGTGGGTGATGCGGCGGGACGGGTGGGAGCCGGGACGGGAGCGATTGGGGCTGCTGAACTCCCCTCGCGCTGCTTGCCGCGAGGCCCCGGCCCCTCGCTTGCGCCGCAGCCCCCGGACGGGGCCGTTTCTCTGAGCCGCGACTTGCCCCGGCCCCGCTGCCGGAGCACCGGTCCTCTCCCGGCTATCAGTGCCCGACACACCCCTCGCCCTGGGCTCTGCCCCGCGGATCTTTCCCTCAACCATCAGGTGCCGGACTTTGCCCCCCGCACCCAGCCCTCCTCCGAACTCCTCGACTGCTATTTGTGCCGGAAAACAATTAATCATAAAATAGTGATTCCCCGGGAGCACCCTGCATCCTGTCAACTTATGAGGACTGTTTAACAAAGGAGATTTCCACGCGCTTTGCAATCGGGCTAAGGGGAGGAGGGCAGGGACTTAACAGACGGCTCTAACCCCGCTCGCAGCCTCGTCCCGTTCCTCATTCGGCGAGCCCCGTGCCGAGCGGCGGAAAGTTTGGTCGCTGTGCCCGGCGTGCGGGGCGCCGGCGGCGGAGGGATGAGCGGGGCGGCTCCGTGCCCAGCGGGACGGGCACTGCCGCCCTGACACGGAGGAGCGCGGGCAGCAGCAGGTGTGTGCGGGGTGCGGGTGTCGCGGGGTTGAGCTTTCCGCGTCGTATAGATGTTGTCCTTGGGCTGCTTTAATGTGCTGCCGTGTCCTGGGGCGGGATCCGAGCGCGGGGCTTTGCTGGTAGCTTTGTAGTCGGCTTCCAGAGTGTTTTTGGGCAGAGGGGCCACGGAGGAGACAGGAAGGGTTAACTTAAATGCCGTGACTCATTTAGTAAATAGCGGTTAATAGAATTGCCTTAACTGCATAAAATTATTTTCCTAAGGAGATGGTCAACTCTTAGATAAGTCTATCTTTGGATGTATTTGTTTTCAGGTTTCTTATCTGGTTGGTAAGTCTCAGGCCTGTGTAACTCCAGAATTGTAGTAATTGATAAACTCATTCTTCTGTGGAAAGGAAAGCATGGCCAGCTCCTGCCGCAGAGACCCCCAGCGTATCATACACCCAGGTAGCAACACAGAGATTAGATAGTGAGCAGCGGGCACGTGAGAAGTGTTTGCATTGAGTTGTGTGTGTGGGAGCAATACCTATCTGTGAAAATGAGTAAATAGATCTTTATGAAGAAGTCAACCATACCACAAATAATATAAAAATGAAATCCTGTCTAAATGGGCTCAATTGTGGATTATCCAGGAAAGCTATGAACCTTTGAGTGTGCAGAGAAAACATGTAGGTACAAACTGCACACGTGTGTATGAAATTAGAAGGGTCTATTCTGGGGTGCAAAAAAAATAGGTGAGCTGGACTCCTTTTTAGTGCTGCTCATGGGGTAAGATTGCAATTTACATGCTTATAATCTTCCTGGCTTTCCATGCATATTTTTACACATAAAAATGCAGTCAGGGTGATCCTGTGCCAGACCAGGGGCTGGCATCGTGTTTTTAGCTTCTGTCAGTGGGTTCAAAAGGCACTGAAGATCTGAGCTGAAAAGGCTCCTACCTGTGTTTGCGTTTCTATTTTTGCTGATTTTAATGGGACGTTTCCATAAGGGCTGCTGGCACTATTGCTTTTGTACGTAATCAACTTTTGAAAGCTATTAATCTTTTTGTTTAATCTTCAGTAATGGATTTTATATTGAGCCCATGTGGTTAAGCCCTCTCAAGAACTACTGGGGAAAGCTCGGTCCTGCAGGTTTGGGGACTGCTGCAGATCTTTGCTCTTCCTTTCAGCTGTTTCTCCAAAGGGTCTGAGCTGGCCCAGTGCGTCTCCTTCAGTCTTGAGCCCAGGGTCTGGCTCAGAGGGAAGCCCCCACCTTCCCACTTCCCTTCTGCCTGTATGCTTGAAGGTTGTATGATCTCATCAGCACAGGATGCTTAAGGCTTCACAGATCTTTCCACCGAAACACTTATTTTCACTATGCTTCAGCTCTTCGCTTTGGTTGGACTTTTCCACCCACGTTTTCACACGTGAGATGGGCCGACGCGCATTGTGGCTGCGCTCCGTCTCGTTCTGTGCAGCTGTGAGCACATGGTGCTTTCCAACCCGGGGCTGCCTGTGACACCTCGCTCTCACTGTCCTGCAGAGTCCATCCTTCAGCCCAAACAGGTTTCAACTGCTCTTGTTCATTCTCCTCACCCTGTGTGGATGGTAAATAACCCCCCAGGTCCTTCTTTACCATAGGCTTTCCATCTGAAAATAGAGATGGGTGATTGGAGCTTTTTTTTTTTGTTGGACTCTAAGCAAAACAGAGCTGTGGTTCAAAGAATCAGGGAGGGCTCTCGTAAGTCAGTGGAGAGCTTTCCCTTTTCTTTTCCCCTACTATTTAGGACCAGGAGGCTTGGTTATATTGTGGTTCACCTTTAGGTTTTACTTCTGCAAAGAGCATCCGTACAGCCCTGGCAAAGTGACCTGAGCACAGCAGCGCTGGTTTCTGGCCTCTGCTCGTTTTAAAAATGAGGAGAAAGTCACCTACTGAATGAGATGCTTGTGCAGCTGAATGCTGTGATTTGGTCCATTAGGGGTAAAGAACTGGCAGCATTCTGACTCGGGAGAGCACAGAAGGTGGTTTAACCTCTGAAGGCTTCAGTTTCCTCTGTAGAATCAGAAGATGCCTCTCCCCTCACAAAGGCTGCATCTGAGTCAGGGATAATTACTGGTTGTTTTTCATACTTCTTTTCTATTGTAAACCTCTCTAGATCAGGATGGCCAGATGGCATATACAACTCTCAATTATGGAAGATATCCTCAGGAGGCACTTCGAGGTCATCTAATCCATGCCTTTGCTCAAAGGCAGAATCAGCTCTGTGCCTTTCCCAGCAGCTATGCCTCCATTCTGCTCCTAAGGGACCTGTAGTGCAGACTCCACTTTTCTCAGGCATGCAGGAAACACCCAACATCCAGCTTAAACTTTGCTATAACTCGTTCCTCACCTTGACCTCAGTGAGCAACTTGCAGCGGATGAGCTAGAAGAATTTAGAATTACTTCATCAGGTGCAGGTAGTTGGTAAATGGGAGTTAGTTAAGGGTGTAATCTCTTTCCCTCCTTGAATTCTGTAAGGAGCAGATCATATGAAGCCTGACACCCAGAGTTTAATTCAGTGCTTTGAACAGGCATCAGTGGGGCTGGCACAGAATGGGAGAGCTTCTGAGGGAGGTGTGTGCCTTTCTGAGGTGGCAGCAGAGGCTCAGGTGGGAGTTGGGAGCTCATTGGGAGCTCATTAGACCTCACTATCCATGTGCATTTAAGCAACCAACTCAAACCCTATCGATTTAGTTTGACTGGCTCTGGAGAAAGAATGCTTTTCATCATTAAACCTGTTGGTTGATTATTTTAGAACATTAAAAAAGTAATCACCAGGTAGCATAAAATACAATGAATCTTGTAGAAAGTGTATGCAAATGACATTGCAAAAGATAGATGAGTGCTGCAAGCTCCTAGCTTACAAAGCAGTAGCAAATCTTCTGCCAGGATAGAAAGTTCTTCTGAGGCTCTCGATAGTGTTATTTTTATATGCATATATGTGTAAGATAAGTCGTTTGCTACAACTACAGATACAACAGTGGAAGAGAGGACTTGAAAAGGAATGACAACTACAAGATGGATCGTGTTTCTCTTAGATGATAGGTCAGAGGTTGCATGCAGCAGGTTTATCAGTATCTGGCAGGTAACGAGATAACAGCCAGGTGTTACACAGGGATGTGGAAAAACCTGAAACGGGAATAAGGAATACTTTCTGTGGCATTTTTAGGGAACATTTGCAAACAATGCATTGGAGACAATGGAGGAGTTAGCAGGGAGTGAAACTTCTTGCAGAGATGGTTGGAGCCAGGGATAGGGGGAGGGAAAGGCTCCCTTGTGCAGAGGATGAGGGAATCTTCCTGTCCCTAGCTGATACAAGGAGAGGAAAGGGGGGTTTTCCTGGAGCCCTGGAGACGTGACGAATGACATGCCGGGCTCCTGTCGATTAGCATTTGTGATTGCACTGAAAGCCAGGCTGGAAGGCACTCAGCCCTTGTCAGTAATCGCAGATTGGGACTCTTTTATCTGCCAGCTCGCTGAGATACGAAGCTCGCTGTCTCACAGGGACAGTCGTGGCTCCTTGTTGGGCAGTTTGTCAAGGAGGGCAGGAGAGGGGCTGTTGGCTGGTGGAGCTCAGCTGGATCCAAGCCAGCGCCAGCTGGGGGATCATGCCTGCATACCTCCTGGGCAGAGGCCCTGCGTGTTTGGGTGAGTAGTGCTGTTAAACAGAGGGAAGTGTAATTTGGTCTCATTTTTGCTCTTTTAATGCATCTCTTGTAGGTGGTGGTTTTCTCTCTTTTCTCTGCTGTAAGTACTTTCCTCATATAGCATTCATATTTCAGTTTCTCTTCTATTTTTTTTCCCGCTTCTGCTTCTTTGGAGTTATTTTGGTTTGTTTTTACAAAGCCTTCTCTCACTTCTTATCTCCCTTGCTTTTTTTTTCTTACGATGGGAGCCTGAGTGTTTCTATTCTCACTCGTTCACTAATGCTGGCCTATTATCTGCATCCTCCTTCTTGTACTGGGAAAGTCCTCTGCACGCTGACCTGTCATTTTGGTTGCTGAGGTTTCCCCAGAATAGGATTGTCAGATCCTTGTATGAATCAGTTAATGTTACAGAGTCAAGAGAAAGAGACTGTTGAATATCATATTCTGTGATGATAACAACTTTGGTCTCAGCATGAGATTCACAGACTTGGGCACAGGCTGGCATTTTCTGTA